ATGATCAAAGGTCCTCACCCCTAAAAAAGAATGCTTAGAATATGGTTGCATGTACGCACGAAGTGGAAAGAGAACGGATGCCTCGGCCAAAAGACCGTCAGCGTGTACTCTTTTCACTCGGGTGGCTTTTTGTTCTGTTGTTTTGCAATAATCTCATCCACATCCGAACCCTCCTCTTCCTCCTCCTCCTCCGCCTGAGGTGCAGGAGTATCCGTGTCCATCGGTTCTGCGACAGGCTGGCTTTGACTCTGGGTCGTAGCTGTCACCTCACCACTTCCTACGGTGGCAGTTGCCGTGGTAGTAGTATTTGTCGTGCCAGTTGCCGAAGCAGCTGCTGTTGTGGCTTCAGGAACGGCGTCGTCCTCTGTCCATACGAAGGACTCCGGTGGTGCTGGTTCATGTTGTTGCTGCGATGTCGAAGTGGATGTGCCAGTGGTGCCAGACCCACCTCCACCTGACTTTGACCCAGTTCCTCGATGCCCACGAGGTCTTGTCTCATAATCCTCAGCGTCTTCATCCAACATAGCCTCATCAACATCCACATCATCCACATCATCTTCATCATCTTCCGACATCGAACCCCCTTCATCCTCCTCATCCTCGTCATCAACATCATCATCCTCATCATCGTCATCCACATCATCCTCGTCTTCATCCTCATCATCTTCCTCTTCCAACAGAGCCCCCACTGTGGACGCGTGGACAGGCTGGTCGGCGGCAGTTTCTTCATTAAGTCCACTGGTGCTACTCGAACCTTGGTCGTCCGAGCCACTGGCCCCACTTGCACCACCCTTGGAACCACCCTTACCAGTGCGGGTCGAAACCGTTGGGCCGTGAGGCTGTACGGCTTCAACAAGCACCTCCTTTTCATCGGGTCTTCGATCATGGAAAAGAAGAATTCCTGCCTGAGTAATTGGCTTGATGGAGTAGTATCGACAATCGTCAGGGAGGGAGAGCACACGTTGTTGAGCTCGCAAAACGCGCGCTGGATTCGAGAGCATTGAGAAGGAGGGCTCCTATAAGTAAGGAAATGACATCAGGCACACTCAACCACTCAAGTAAAATGTTTTACCTTCTCATCCTTCTCCTTTTTTGCAGCAGCACCAGTCACGGTGGCAGTCTGATTATCACTAAAAGAAAACAAAGATTTACTAGCATTTTGACATGCCATAGAAAGACAGAATGATGTGCGCAAATTTACACATCCATCTTCTCGACACCCG